GAGGGTAGCAGAATCTAAGCCGTGAGAAACCACAGGACAAATGACCTTGTTTCTTCAAATAAATTGCAAGGAAGATAGGGGAAGGGGAATCTATAGATTAGAAATGATTTAAGAGCCATAATCCATGGCAACCTGTGGATTTTATTTGGATCCTAATTCAAACAAACATTGAGAGGGAAAGCACGACGTTTATAAGAACTGGAAATTTCAGTGCAGGATAGTTCATGAAATTAAGAAATTATTAAATTAAAATTTTTATTGTGGTAGCACATCCATGAAATTTAACATCGCAACGATTTTTAAGTGTACAGTTCAGTAGTGTTAAGTACATTCATATTGTGGTAACCAATCTCCAGAACTCTTCAAGTTGCAAAACTGAAACTGTACCCATTAAACAACTCCCCATTCTCTCCTCCCACCAGCCCCTGGGACTCACCATTTTACTTTATGTCTCTGAGTGTGACTACTCCAGGAACCTCATATAAGTGGAATCCTACCATACTTGTGCTTTCGTGACTGGCTTATTTCACTTAGCAGATGTCCTTGATGTTTATCTATGTTGTAGCATGTGTCAGAATTTTCCTAAAATTCTGATTTAAAAGGCTACGTTTAAAAAAGGCTGAATGATATTCTGTTGCCTGTATACACTGCCTTTTGTTTATCCATTTATGTGTTCATAGACGTTGGGATGGTTAATTTTTAAATTGTGGCGATGGTATTGTGTGTACTTAAAGGAGTTCTTTTCTTTTAGACAGTTGTACTGAGATATTTCCCAGAGAAATGATAGGATGTCTGTCATTTGCCTCAAACTAATACAGGAAGCGGAGTAGAAAATGGGTAGGGATATAGAAGAAACAAGCTTGGTCATGGTTTGACAGGTGTGCAAGCTGGTGTTTATACTTTTATGTATGCTGCTCTATACCTTTAACTTTTTCCATAATAACATGAAAATGAAAAAAAGAAAACAAACTGGTCGAGTGAACAGCTACCCCTCTAGAGCAGGGAGTGCATGAACAGATTTCATAAGCACAGTCTTGAGCAATCTGTTGGCGAAAGACACCCATTATTCCTCCTCCTCCCACCTATTTCCAGTGTCCTGGGGGAGTATGTGGGGACAGATCATGACAGATTCTGATTCTGATTTCCTGCTCTCCAGTTTTCCATCCTGAGGTATATTCACAGTTCAGGTTCAGGAGTTTGGCTTACTAAGGCCAAACAACTTTTTAAAAAAGATTTTATTTATTTATTTGAGAGAGAGAGCACGAGCAGGGCAGAGGGAGAGGGAGAAGCAGACTCCCCGCTGAGCAGGGTGCCCAACTCGAAACTCATCTCAGGACCCCAGGATCATGATCGAGGCTGAAAACAGAGGCTTAACTGACTGAGCCATCCAGGCACCCTAGGGTCAAACAACGTTATTGAGTTATGATTTAAATACCATATAATTAACATATTTAAAGTGTAGAATTCAACATTTTTTATATTATACTATTAATTTTTTAAATGGTAGTAAAATATATTTAACATAAAATCTGCTCTTTTAACTTTTTTTTTTTTTTTTTTTTTTTAAGTAGGCTCCATGCTGAGCGTGGACCCCAGCACGGGGTTTGAATTTCTGAACCTGAGATCAGGACCTGAGGTGAACTAAGAGTTGGACGCTTAACCGACTGAGCCACCCAGGTGCCCCTCTATTTTAACTATTTTTAAGTGTACAATTCAGTGGCATCAATGACATTTCAACCTGTTTTTAGAGTCTGGGTATTGATTTAGTTTTGAAAGTCAGGAGACATCTTAGGACCAGTGTTTTTTGGGATTTATGTCAGTAAAAACATGAAAGTAGTCAACACTCTACTGAAAAGGGATATTTGTTTCAGGTATGGTTGGACTGAGCCCAGAATTTCAGTCAGAGGCCTAGAGGAATGAAGGTTCTAACGTCACCATCTAATAGATGAAAAACCTTGACCTGTTATCTGTCCTTTCTGCCCTTCAAGTTTCTTCACCTGCAGAAATACAGTGCAGAGGTAGGGCCCAGCCCATTCCGCTCTACTTTTGCCTTATCTCCAGGTGTACCCAAAACCACAAGAAAGGCTCTGTTCCCCAGGGAAAGGTAGAAGTCTTCAAAATAAGAGATTGTATGAGCAATCAACTTAATGACAGACTTTGTATTCTCCTCTTTCTCTTTTCGATCCTTGTTGCTATGCTGGTTTTGGGCCATGAATAAACATTTATTTATTCATGACAATATTCTTGTCCCACCCAAATCAGTCCATCTGAATCCTGTTATCAAGTTTGTTTTTCTCTTCATATTTTCTCCATTTTGTATTAATAATACAATAGTCATCATAATAATCCCTTTGTAGTCACAAAATATCTTTCATCTGTTAGCTACATAGAGGAATAGAATAAGCCGAAGGCAGAGGCTTAACTGACTGAGCCACCCAGGTGCCCCAAAAGTGTTTCCTCCTTTTCAAAAAATTTACTTATTGGCCTTCATGAAGACTGGGGCTTCCATATACTTCCCGCTGGGTGGAGCCTCTGTGTATTTTCCCTGAAGTTGACATCACCGTCCCCAGTTCCTTCCTACTTCTTTCATGACACTCCTGTGTCATCCTTGGTGGGGAGAAACTCCCCTTTGCTTTGAAATGCATTGAATTTTTGCCATACAACCCTCCCCACCCATCCTTGTTGCTGTCTTCTATTAGCTCTCCGGGGTCACTCCTCCACATTCACTGAAGATTTGGTTCCTTGGACTCCTCCAAGTTCCAAGGACCTCAGTGTCCCCACACGCTGGCCTGGTGGTGATTGACCCACTCATTTGACTCTGTTTCAGCTATCAGACCCTAAACTGAATCATCTCCTGGAATTATTCCCCCTTTGAAGTCTCCAGGGCCAACACCACAGCTGGTGACAGCGTGCCAGCTCCTTTATTCCCATAGGCCTTTGTCTTTAGTTCTGTCTCTTTTCTTCCTAGCCTATCAGCTCTACACTGCTCTCCTTGTGTGGACTTCCTTGTGTGGACTAGACTCCCAGTGGAGTACCACAATCTCACATTCTCTCAGGCCCTCAACTGCCTCAGTCACCTCCCTCTACTCAGCCCACAGACTGCTTTTATCATAAATATCCATATTTATATATCTACCTATAGATAGCTCATGAAATCATAGCTGGGCATCATTACACACTATGGTTTCTAAACTCCCCTAGGTCTTCAATGACACTTTTGTAAGTTGGTACTCTAGTAACTCACACTGGTTATTCAAAATTTTCACCACTTTCCTAACTTCCATCTCAACTCCAAACCCTTCTGTTTTCCAGTTAGAGCCTTTCTTGTTCGGTGGTTTGTGTATGTTCTTCCCTTCCGCTGAATAAACTGTGTCCTCTCCCAGCACCAGCCATCCTCCAAGTACTCTTAAAAAGTCAGTGGGTGAAGCCCTTATGAACCTCCCCCCACCCCACGTTTGTTTGTTTTTGTTACACTAGTAATGTTTGACCAACTTTACTAATTTTTTCTTTTAAAATTTCATTTTATTTTATTTTTAAGATTTTATTTTTTCATTTGACACAGAGAGATCACAAGTAGGCAGAGAGGCAGGCAGAGACAGAGGAGGAATAGAGCTCTCCGCTGAGCAGAGAGCTCAAAGCGGGGATCCATCCCGGGACGCTGAGACCATGACCTGAGCTGAAGGCAAGAGGCTTAACCCACTGCGCCACCCAGGCGCCCCTAAAATTTTATTTTTAAGTAATCTCTACACCCAACATGGGGCTTGAATTTACCACCCCAGAGAGCAAGAGTAGCGTGTTTCCACCAGCTGAGCCAGGGAACCCTGGAACCAGGTGCGTCAGGGAACTTGACTGATTTAAGGAGACGTGTAGACCTGCCTTCAGGCCGTGAGCCCCTCAAAGGCAGGAATGGAGTTCTATTTGCGTCCTCTTAGCTTTTCTATAGTTCCTGGAGCGCAGTAAGCGATCCACAAACGTTTGTGGGACGTGTGAAGCTCTTTACAGTGGGGAGAACTGGACGGGAGGACCCGAGTAAGGATCTCGCCTTGCCAAATGGCAGTGGCTCTCCCGGAACGTGGCGTTCATCCGCGCCTCCGAAGTGCCTCTTCTAAGTGAGCCACGGAGGGGAGGAGCAGTCCCCGGGCCGAGCGAGGCCTGGGGCCAAGTGCATCCAGGGCGGAGGGTGGCGGGAAGCTGTCTGTCTGAGGAGTCACTTTTTAGGTGCTTGTTTTGGAGCATTGCACAAACGCGGGTGCAAACCCCAAGCTCACCAGCGTGAGTCAGCGGGGCCCGCAGCAGCAGGAGAGGGAAAGGTGGGCGAGGAGGGCGCCGCGCACCCCGAGGCCCGCGCGGGCGGCGGGAAGGACCCGGTGGCGACAAGGGACACCCCTAGCGGCGGCCCCTTCCCCAGCCCTACAGGTGAGCGCGGGCCCGCCGCGGGGCGGAGCGCGCTGTCCCCACCGGCCACTCTCCCGGCGCCGCCACCACCGCGCAGGTAACCTCCCGCCCGGACCTTCCCCGGACCCCTAGGGCCTCCGCGCTGGGGCCACCCCGCGTCCCCTGGGCCTCCGCGCTCCTAGTCCAGGCACGCACGTGGGGGCCGGGCGCCTTTGTCCCCTCGCCGATGGCGCCCGCGCCGAGTCGGAGAGGGGCGGGCAAGCGGCGCGTCCCCGCACTCGGCGCACGCAAGCCGCCGGCGGACGGCGGACTGCAGACGGGCGGGGGCCGGGGCTGCCCTGCCGGCGCCCAGTGCCGTCGGAACCCGCCCTGCCGCGGCCCACGATCTAGGCTCCCGAGCGTCGCGTCCCCGGGGTGCGCTTCTCCCCGCACGGGGCCTCGGAAGGGGGCGCAAGGGTCGGCTGCACCCCGGGCCCCATTTCTCCCTGGCCTCGAGAGCCCGGAGAGCCCCGAGATGGCGTTGGCGGAAGTGAAGCCCCGCGCGGAGTGAAATGGCCTTTCTGTCCCCTCCCCCGCGCAGTGCGCTCGCTAAACAACGACCCTAGCATTTCCCCCAGAATAGCTGTTTAGGGCGCACTGGGGCTAAGTACGCTGCTGCTACAAGGTAGCTTTCGTTTGGCAACAGTTTTTACGGATTGGATGTATAATTTACATACAACAAAATGCCCCCATTTTAAGGGTGCAGATCAGAGATTTGACGAATTATACACCCGTGGAACCACTACCACCGCGTGGACGTACACCATTTCATTTCCATCGTCCCGGGAAGTTCCCTCGTGCCCATTCCAGCCAGTCCACAACCCCTCTCCCCAGCCTGCCTGCTTTCTAGCATCGCTTAATTTTGCCTGCTTTCGAACTTAATAAAATGGGATCATTCAGTAAGTACTCCTGTTTTTGACTAATACTACTTCTTAAATGGTCGTCATTTGAGAAGGTGTTTCTTGGTGCTCCTGGTGTTTTCAGTTGCCCTTGGGCCTGAGCTGTCCAGTGTGGTAGCCACTGGCCACGTGTGGTTCTTGACTATTGGAAATGTGCTGAGTCTGAATTGAGATGTGCTGAAATAGACACACTGAATTTTGAAGACCTAGAGCCCCAAAAAGGGGGGACATAAAATACCTCACTAGCGAATTTTTATATGGTTTGTGTGTTAAAATGATAGTATTTTGGATACATTGGGTTGAATAAGATGTTATTAAAATTAACTTACGGTTTCTCTTTACTTTTTAAATATGGCTACTAGAAAATTTAAAATTACACAGGTAGTTGCTGTAATGTTTTTATTGGACAGCAGACAGAAGAGACTCTGCACACTCCTGTTTTGCCGCAGGAGTTCTGCTCCCTGCATAGAAGAGCAAAGGAAAAACTTCAGCCTTCACAGGGGCAAAAACAACTCAATTCAAGGAGGTAGCTTGAAGAGCCTGCTTTTTCCTGTGGTTTTGAAACTTGCTTCAAACTTGTTTGCTTTCAAGAGGTAGAAAGGAATAGGTGTCTCCTTGGTATTAAGTTACATTAAAAAAAAAAAGATTTTATTTATTTGTCAGGGAGAAAGACAGCGCAAGGAGGGGGAGAGGCAGGCAGAGGGAGAAGCAGGCTCCCTGCCCAGCAAGGAGCGGGATATGGCACTCTGCTTTGAGGACCCTGGGATCACAACCTGAGCTGAACACAGACGCCTAACTGGCTGAGCCACCCAGGATTCCCTTGAGTTACATTTTGAAGAAGGACATTGCAAAATACCTGATGTATTGAAAAAGGCATCTTGTGATTTTTTTAAAAAGATTTTATTTATTTATTTGACAGAGATCACAAGTAGGCAGAGAGGCAGGCAGAGAGAGAAGAGGAAGCAGGCTCCCTGCTGAGCATAGAGCCCGATGTGGGGCTTGATCCCAGGACCCTGAGATCACAACCCGAGCCCAAGGCAGAGGCTTTAACTCACGGAGCCACCCAGGCGCCCCAAGGCATCTTGTGATTTTTGAAAAGATAGAAAACTCATCACTGCCTACACCCCAACCACCTAAGTATTAAAATTTAGCTTTTTGATGTACTTTTGCTTAGTCTTAACTTAAAAACATAGTTGAGATAATATTATATTCAATTTTATATCCTTCTGTATAAGGGAATTTTTTATGAAAAATTCTTAGGCTTTTTACAATTACATGATGTGACTTCACATGCATGCACTCTAGTTTTCAATGACATTTTTCGATTTTGCTAATTTTTACAAAGAGAAAGTCATTTTAATAGGGTGACAGTGCCAGTATAGGGTACAATGACAGCAGTGCTCATTTTGTAACTGAACCAAACAAGAGTTTGCCCACCTGGTGCTCAGTAAGCCAATAAAAACTGACACTGAGTTTCTGCAGTGAAGGAAGATAGGCTATGTATTGGTATGGTGCTACCTATGAGAGCAGGGAGGGAATGCTCTGAAGTCCCAAACTCCCCAGAGGCTTGTAAGTAAGTGTTTTTTAAGGGCAAGATTTGGGGCAGGGTCTCCTGAGAAGGTGGACACCATTAACTGGAGGCACGTGAGACCATGCGAGCTAACAGGTGCTCTCCTGCCGCTTTGTCTGGTCCCCTGGAGGTTTTTCCATCTCAAGAGACTGGGAATCTGAAAAATATCTTTGTTCTTTATGTTGGAGATTTCATTAGGTACATCTGGTAATTATATCTTAAAAAAAATTTTTTTTAAGATTTTATTTATTTGGGTGCCTGGGTGGCTCAGTGGGTTGAGCCTCTGCCTTCGGCTCAGGTCATGATCTCAGGGTCCTGGGATCGAGTCCCGCATTGGGCTCTCTGCTCGGCGGAGAACCTGCTTCCTCCTCTATCTCTCTCTCTGCCTGCCTCTCTGCCTGCTTGTGATCTCTCTCTGTGAAATAAATAAATAAAATCTTAAAAAAAAAGATTTTATTTATTTATTTGAGAGAGAGAGAGAGAAAGAAAAAGCATGAGCAGGGGAGAGGCAGGGGGAGAAGTAGGCTCTCTGCTGAGAGAGCCCGATGTGGGGCTTGATCGTGGGACCCCGGGATCATGACCTGAGCTGAAGGTGGATGCTTAACCAGCTGAGCCACCCAGGTGTTGTGGTAAATATACCTTTATTTGTAAGTGAGTAGAGTTGCATTCCTACAGGTTCCTTGGTCAGCCCAGCTATGCCTAGGGGCGATATGACCTCTAGTTGTCATTCTTTCATCTCAACTAACAAAACAGATCCTGACTAAAAATTGCCTCTTACTCTCACAGGGAAGGTGAAGTCCAAGAGGGCAGGGACCTTGACTTTTTGTCTACCCCCATGTCCCCAGGACCTGGAAACATGTTAAGCATAATTGACCTATAATAAACATTTGTGAGCTGATTGAAAAACGATAACAGCTTTCATTAAGCACTTGGGTACTCACTTTGTAAATGCCCGCTCGCCTCTATCAGGCAGGCACTGTTATGATCTCTGTGTACTGCACAGGTAGAGAAATCTGAGGTTTAGAAAAGTTGAAGAAGTTGTCCAGGGTCATAGCTGTAAATAACAGAATCAGCATTTGCACCCAGGCTGTCTGACTTGAGTTGAGGGATACTTACTAACATAGAAGAAAGCAGCAGGGGGAGTGGGTAAGGGGGAGCTGCCTGTAAGGGTGGCTGGGTGGCTTAGTCATTGAATGTCTGCCTTCGGCTCAGGTCATGATCCCAGGGTCCTGGGATTGAGCCCCACATCAGGCTCCCTGCTCAGTGGGAAGCCTGCTTCTCCCTCTCCCACTCCCCTGCTTGTGTTCCCTCTCTCGCTGTCTTTCTCTCTGTCAAAGAAATAACATCTGAAAGAAAGAAAGGAAGGAAGGAAGGAAGGAAGGAAGAAAAGAAATTACTCCTAAATGACTACCTGGGCCAGTAGGGCTGGAAAGAGGTGAATATTCAGATAGATTTTGGATCTATAGGAGGAGCATTCTGGGTTTGGATCCATGGTTAATCTTTTGGGCTAAATCTAGCTGGAGTGAGCAAAATGACAGGTGGCTAGAGAAGAGGAACAATGGCCTTGAATGGGATCATCTGGAGTGTATAGAAAGGCAGGTCCAGGGACTGAGGGAAGCCATCTGGGATGGGACTTGTGTATTTTGGATGGTTTCAGTTCACTTGCCTTGACCGTGGTTGACTAGTTTAAATTGAACTCAGAGCGCTGCAGTGAGATAACCTTACACACCTTCAAGTTCTGATCGTTTGATTTGAAAGGAGAGGAAACCGCAAAATCAGTCTATTCCTTAGTTCATTTAATCCTCATACCCACCTATGAGATTTTTATAATGTTGGCAGATATGAAGACCGATTTTTTTTTAAAAAGTCTTTATTTTTTGGAGCAATTTTAGATTCACAGCAAAAATGAGCAGGAAGCACCGAGTTATCATGCACTCCCTGCCCCTACAAGCACAGCCTTCCCCACTACCAACATCTGGAACCAGAGGGGTTCGTTTGTTAAAACGGAGGAACCTACACTGATACAGCATTATCCTTCAAGCTCCATTACAGGTTGACATTGGACTTTGCTCTTGGCCTTGTTCATTCTGTGGCTCTAGACAAATGCATAATGACTTGTATCCACTGTTATAATATCATACAGAATAGTTTCGCTGCCCTAAAAATCCTCTGTGCTCTACATATTCATCCTTCCCTCTCCCCCAACCCCAGGGACCCACTGATCCTTTTGTTATCTCCATAGTTTGCCTTTTCCAGAATGTCAAGTAGTTGGAGTCCTACAGTATGTACATAGCCGTCTCCGGCTGGCTTCTTTCACTTAGTAATGTGCACTGCAGTTACCCCCATGTCTTTTCATGGTTTGAGAGCTCATTTCTTTTTAGTGCTGAGTAATATTCCAAGGGACTAGTATTTTTTATTCCGTTTCACAGATGAAGAAACAGAAGGATTAGTAACTTGCCCAGGTACAACTTGTTCAGATCAGTCTGATTCCAGATCGTTTTCTCTTAAAAATTTTACCATGTTTCTGATTCCCAGAGAAATTGCGTTTCTCATAATGAAGTTTGTCACACAATAGAGTTGGGGTAAATGGAAAATACGGGCGACTTCGCTTGCAGAAAGTATCCATCGCTTTCTGCATATAGCCAAAAATGGAAAACCTGGAAGGGAAGACTTTGTTTCAAAAGTTTACTTTATATGGAAAAATGCCGTGTGCTTTTGAAATTCTGGTTTAACAGACTCCTGCTTTACTGGTTTGAGAATATGATTCTCTTCCCTGACTCTTAATTTTGTTACCTTTCAGATTATTTCTGGGTGCTCGCACTCAGCCACCTCCTCCACCAATGAAGTACATCCTGGTCACTGGGGGGGTCATCTCAGGCATTGGTAAAGGGATCATTGCAAGCAGCATTGGGACGATTCTAAAGTCATGTGGACTCCGAGTTACTGCCATCAAAATTGACCCTTATATTAACATCGATGCAGGCACTTTTTCTCCTTATGAGCACGGTATGAAAGAGAATAACTTCCCCCTCTTATGAGGAACTGGGTTAAATTGCAGTTCTTTCCTGTATGGGGGGTAATTTCTTGAGGATAGAGTTCGGAAGTAGAGTTGCTGGATCAGTCATTATGAACACGTGAAATGTTCTCATGGTTGTTGATACATTTGGAAAACAGTGTATAAGGATACCATTTTCATTGTACCTTTTACAGTACAAATTATGTTTTGGTCAGACAGTATGGTCTATATTGACAGTTATACTGACAATATAGAATGGCACGAAGAAAATAAAAGTCCTCCATTTCCCAGCACTAAAAGTAACTATTATTAATGTTGACATTTTAATGGACATGCTAATTATTTTTAAAAAGGCATTAGCACTTACATACTTTCTTTTTAAACTTTTTACATACAAGCAGGCAAGTGCACAGATCATAAGTGTACCACTTGATAAAGTGAGCGTACTGTGTAACCAGCCCCCAGACCAAGAAACAGAACCCCCCCCCGCCAATGTCCCTTTCTAGTCTTTCCCCACCTGAAACCACCAAGGTAACTGCTATCCTGTCTTCTAACACCGCAGGTTACTTTTGCTTTTTTTATTTTTTTTACTTATTACTTTATTTTTTTACTTTTTTGTTTTGTTTTTGCATAATGCACTGCATAACCTACTAGCAGGGACAGATGAGCATAACTGAGTGGTTTTTCAGCAATCAGGAAAGTGCTTCCTTAATTAATGTTCTCCAAACACTTTGACATGTACTAACTCCAGAGATTACTTTTGCTAATTTTTGACCTTTAAATAAATTGAATCTTATAGTCATGTCAGTTTTTAATCTAATTTTTAAAACAGTACTGTGGACATTTCTATATATTTTAATCTTTTTGTTTGTTTTAATTTTTAAAAAAATCGTATTCATTCATTTGAGAGAGAGAGAGACAGCAGGAGCAGGGGGAGAGGGAGAAGCAGGCTCCCCACTGAGCAAAGAACCCGATGAGGGGCTCCATCCCAGGGCCCTGGGATCATGACCTGAGCTGAAGGCAGATGCCCAATCAACTGAGCCACCCAGGCACCCCTGTGTTTTATACTCCTAAGGCTCCATAAAATCTGTACAATAATGGGAAATAATTTCCAATGTATTGATATTATAAACAACACTGTGATGGGAATCTTTAAAATTTATTTTTTTTTAGACATAAATGCCTACGCGCAGAATTTCTGATTTCACAGGTAGGTGTGCTTTTCAGGCTTTTTGACATATAATGCATACTACCCAAGGTTTCTAGATTCATGATCTCTTACCTATAAGTGTAAAATCCAGAAAGTTCTGAAAACTTTAAATTGTTCATAAGTTTGTGGCTATTTATAGTCTTTTTTCAAAAGTTTTGAAAAGTGAGGGGCACCTGGCTGGTGCAGTACTTAATCGTCTGCCTTGGGCTCAGGTCACGATCCCAGGCTCCCGGGATCGAACCCCCACGTTGGGCTCCCTGCTCGGCGGGAGACCTGCTTCTCCCTCTCCTACTCCCCCTGCTTGTGTTCCCTCTCTCACTATGTCTCTCTCTGTCAAATAAATAAATAAAATCTTAAAAAAAAAAAAAAGTTTTAAAAACTGAAAAATCTTCATAAAGCCATGACTATTTCTAGTCTTTATTCCATTTGGAATGTGTTTGCTTTTGGGGTGTTTTCTAATACATGGCAAGTGTTCTGTATTACCTTTGCATAATCTGAAAAACTTCAGATTTCAACTTCCATATTGTTTCCAAGAATTCTCTGATAAGGGCTATGGATCTGCACCAATTTATATACAAATCAACAGTGTATAAGAAGGCCTGTTTTTTTTTTTAAATATCTCTGCTGAATATTATTCTTTTTAAACTTTACTAACCTGAGAGAATACCAAAAAACAACAAAAAAGGGTATCTCATTGTTCTAATTTAGATTTCTTTGGTTTTCATTTTGTCTGTGGAGTGAATGATTCAAGTGAATGGATAGATTGTATTTTTGTTTGAAAGTATTACCCAACTTCCTTCTGTGGAGTAAATTTCCTTGTCCCGTTGACTTTGGACTTTGGTCATTTAGGATGGTATGCTTGGGATTTTCCGGTTTTGAAACTGAAAGTCCAAATCCTGGGAACCCTATTAGTCCTGGGCAAACCCAAGAGCTTGGTGACCTTATTTGGTCATGTGGTTTGTTTTTTCCCTAGGAGACATTAGTGGATGTGACATCTGTCTTGTTGAAAGTAGAAATTTTCAGTGCAGTGGCATGATTTGGCTCTGTCTCTTTGGTGCTCCTGCTCTCTGCCTTGAGAACCGCCTGCTCTGTACAGGGACTTCTCCTTCAGTCTGGGTCCTGGAATGAGACCAAGTAGACTCACAACTAACCCACAGCCCCCACATAACACCTAACCCAAGGGAGAGATCAATAAACATTTTGTAAGTTACTAAGATTTTAGGGTTGTTTGGTATTCAGTAAAGTTGACTAATCCCATGTGTTATGCCAGTTTTCCTTTGGATTTTTTATTTTTTATTTTTTTAAATTTATTTTTATCTTTTTAAAGATTTTATTTATTTGTTTGACAGACAGAAATCAGGAGTAGGCAGAGATGCAGGCGGGGGCCAGGAGAGCAGGCTCCCTGCTGAGCAGAGAGCATGATGCAGGGCTCGATCCCAGGACCCTGAGATCATGACCTGAGCTGAAGGCAGAGGCTTAGCCCACTGAGCCACCCAGGCGCCCCTCCTTTGGATTTTTTAAAAACGGTTTTTAAAGATTTATTTATTTATTTATTAAAGATTTTATTTATTTATTTGACAGAGAGAGATCACAAGTAGGCAGAGAGCCAGGCAGAGAGGGGGGGAAGCAGGTTCTCCGCTGAGCAGAGAGCCTGATGCGGGGCTCGATCTTAGGATGCTGAGATCCTGACCTGAGCCGAAGGCAGAGGCTTAACCCACTGAGCCACCCAGGCGCCCCAAAGATTTATTTATTTGAGAGAGAGAGAGTGTATGCCAGCGTGTAACCGGTGGGGAGGGGCAAAAGGAGAGAGAATCTCAACCAGGCTTCCCACTGAATGCGGAGCTCAGCACAGGGCTGGATCTTATGACCCTGAGATCATGACCTCAGAGGAAATCAAGAGTGGGAGGCTTAACTGACTGAGGCACCCAAGTGCCCCACTTTGGATGTTTTAAAAATGATTTTCAAGGGTACCTAGGTGGCTCAGTTGGTTAAGCTACTGCCTTTGGTTTGGGTCATGAGCCCAGGGTCCTGAGATTGAGTCCTGTGTTGGGCTCCCAGATCTGTGGCGAGTCTGCTTCTCCCTCTGACCTTCTCCCCTCTCATGCTCTCTGTCTTTCATAAATAAATAAAAGATTTTTTAAAATGATTTTCAAGAATATTTTACATAAAGTATTAACCTATATATATATATAGAGAGAGAGAGAGAGAGAGAGAGTGTGTGTGTGTTTTACTCTGTTTGAAATTTGTCTTAATATTACCTCTGCTAGTTACTAATAAATTTCCACTTACCATTTTTTAAAAAGGTTTTTTATTTATTATTTATTTGACAGAGAGAGATTACAAGTAGGCAGAGAGGCAGGCAGAGAGAGAGGAAGGGAAGCAGGCTCCCTGCCGAGCAGAGAGCCCTACTCGGGACTCGATAGCAGGACCCTGAAATTGTGACCTGAGCCGAAGGCAGAGACTTACCCACTGAGCCACCCAGGCGCCCCTCCACTTGCCATTTATGTGATTAAATGTATCAACTGTTTCTTTTATGTTTCTGTCTTTGATGTCACCTTTCGGCTTCTCTGCCACAGGAATATTTAAATATTCATATATATTTTCTTCTGGAACTTTTATAGTTCCATTTACTTTTACTTTAACATTGTTAACACAGCTGGAATTGAATTTGGTGTGAGATAAAGATGTAACATGATTTTTTTTCTAATTTTTTTCTGATTAGGCAACTATTCCTAATGGCATCTCTCAAAGATTTCATCCTTTTCTTCCCGACTTGAAATGCCACCTTTTATTATATACTACATTTCTGTCTATACTTAGGTCTATCTTTGAACTCTGTTCTCTTCTGGATTTCTATGTTTATTCCTGCCTATCATTTTAAAAGCTGCAGCTTTTTATTGTCAAGTAGGTCAGAGCCTTCCATGTTCCTTTTCTTTTTCCTTTGTTTTCTCTCTGTCTCTCTCTCTCTCTTTTTAAGTGCAAAAAGGTGTTTTTATTATCCCTCTAGCAAAGCATTAACTTTTTTGTTGTTCCTTTGTTTTTTTCTTAACCTCAGAGTGTTTATTGTCTTCAGAATTAACTTAGGAATCATTTTGTCCAAGTTTACAAGAAATTGCATTGGAGTTTTTGGCAAAAATTTCTTTAAATTTATGAATTAATTTGGGGAGGAATTAAACACTGCAAAATGTTGACTGGCCCATTCAGGAACTTTAGAAGTGGTTTTCCTTTTATTTATACCTTGTTTTATGTCTGTGAAGTAAGCTTTTTAAGTTTTATAAATATAGTTCCTACATTTCTTCAAGGTTTATTTCTGAGTGTTTTATTTACTTTGATTTGTGATGATAGCTTTGGGTTTTTTTTTTTAAGTCATATATTAAATTCTTTTATGTACTAGGGATCTTTTTGCTTTTTGTTTTTTTAAAGATTTCATTTTTTTAAGTAGTCTCTACACCCAATGTGGGGCTCAAATTCACAACCCTGAGATCAAAAGTCACATGCTCCACCTACTGAGTCAGCCATGACCCCAATAAGGATCTTTGTGGATATTTTGGTTTTGTGACTTTGTTCCATCTTTATATATATTGAAATATATGTATGCATATATATTTCAATCTTCCTTTACTCACTGCTATTTGTTATAAGGGCTTTTTAAATTTATTTTTTGTGTGTTGGTTTTGGTAATCACACGTGTTTTTCTAAAAACCAACTGTAGTATCATCCTCAAGTTGAAAATAATCTGTTGGAATTTTTATTATAACTACAGTAAATCTAAGAACCTATTTAAGGACTTGTCATCTGCAGTTTTTCTTTCTCTTCTAGGAATATAATGGGTATATACTTTTTTTTTTTTAAAGATTTTGTTTATTGGGGCACTTGGGTGGCTCAGTCCGGTAAGCATCTGCCTTGGGCTCAGGTCATGGTCCCAGGGTCCTGGCATTGAGCCTCTAGTCCAGCTCCCCGCCCAGCAGGGAGTCTACTTCTCCCTCTGCCTCTCCCACTGCCCCTCCCCCTGCTCCTGCTCTTTCCTCTCAAATAAATAAATAAATAAAGATTTCATTTATTTTTAGAGAGAGTATATGTGCTTTTGTAGGGGGGAGAGGGAGGGGAAGTGGGAGAGAAGCAGACTCCCCACTGGGCTTGATCCCATGACCCTGAGATCATGCCTGAGCTGAAAACAACAGTTCGATGCTTCACTGTCTGAGCTAGCCAGGTGCCCCTGAAAAGAAATTTTTAATATTTACATTGCCTTTTTATCCTAGGCGAAGTGTTTGTCTTAAACGATGGTGGAGAAGTTGATTTAGACCTTGGAAATTATGAACGGTTCTTGGATATTAACCTTTATAAAGACAACAACATTACCACTGGGAAGATATATCAGCACGTGATCAATAAAGAGAGGCGTGGCGATTACCTGGGGAAAACAGTACAAGGTATTGTGTCCCACACAGCTTAGCGAGTCGTGTGTGTAGAGCACCCACACCCTGGTCAGAATGGATGTGAAGGGAGGAGCTCCCTGAGCTCTCCAAGTTCTCATCCTTTTCAAATCTTGCTTTCTTCCCCTTTTCATTTTCTTCAAAGGTGCCTACTTCACCCTCCATGTTCTTGATTGTATTTTCTTCGGTCTTTTTCTTTATTACTAATGTTGTTTTCTCTCGGTATGTATCTGTCTTTAGCTATTACACTTATGTCTCGGTATGTATCTATCTGTAGGTATTATTTATAAAATCCATGCAGAACCATGCATTCATCATTTTTACCTGATTGAGGTACAGACTTTTTTAGTTTGTTTTTTGTCTATCTCCTTCCTTCTTGTATCTTTGCATGGATGTGAGTTATACCCCTTTAAGGACAGTGTGCGGACGGACTGGGTGATTGAACTGCAGTGGCTGGTAGTGTGGTTTGACCCTGCTTCATCAACTCTTTTCCTGAGTGGTATGATTCTCTTTTGTCTCGGGAGAGACCCCTGCCCTCCCGTGTTTCCCCCCGCCCCCGGCAAGTCTTGTATTCACGGGTTTCCGCGCGGTAAGGTGATAATTCCCCATCTCCTTTAAATTGCATGTTGGATCCAGCTGAGAGGTAGACATGGGGGCCGGATAGATGGAGATCAAGAAAGCATAATTCCTGAAACTGGAACGTGCGGGTTAGAGCTCAGCTACAGCTGTGCTTTCTAATAGCTTTTCCCCTGAGTGTAGATCTTGGGAAGACCCACAAGAAGGAGAGGTGCTGCCTCACACCTGCCACATCCCTGTGATGGGGAGAGAACAAGGCCCCAGGCCTGGGGCTCTAACTCCTGATCCCTGGGCTGCTGACGTGGAGGCAGAGCCCGGGCAACACCTGCCCTGCCCCCGTTCCCCGCCCTGGCCTTGCTGCCAAAAGGGGCCAAACAGCCCATGTAATGTGGGTTGCTCCAAATGCACCAGTGGGTGACAACGTCCTCCCGCTCTGAAGGAGCACCTAGCGCTAGGGAGAGCCGGCAAAGATGCCCCTTCGCTTCGGCTTCCCAGAGGGCCACGTTCCTGCTTCGTGTATCCCATTAGATTAGTTGGCTGCACCGTGAGGCCATCCCCATGCACCCGCAGGGATGTCAGCTTTCTGTCCCTTTGGCAGAGGTATGTAGCTGCCGGCCTGCTCACCACCAATGGGCCTCTGGGCCTCAAATGCTCGTGGACTTGTCACCTTTTGGCTTCTTCAGCTTCCACTAGCAGCCACAGGCCCCTGGTCAGCATGCAGGGTCCATCTATACCCTTTGGGGGGACCTCTCCCCACTAACTGGTGGGCTACCCAGAGCCTGCAGCACTGGGCCACTCTGCCTTTCTTCCCCCATGGAACCCAGCATGCAGCACGCCCGACAGCCCTCCTTGCAGTTTTTAGTTGGCCTTATAGGTGTTTCTAGATGCCTTGTCGATGGCATTTCTGCTTTCTGATTCTTGTTCTCTGTGGTCGGCCAGTTTCAAAAGAAATGACATAACATTTAAGTGATTAAACCTATATCGTGCCTCCATCAGGGAGATGGAGAATAACATGAACACTGGAGTTTGTCTTATTTGCCAAGTGGCTTTCAGGTTACTTGGGAGGTCTAAAGACATGAATACATTCCTTTCTCATGATTGTGACCGTGAAATAGGCTTTGGTGCTAATTATTACTTCCTTCTACAGTGGTCCCTCACATTACTGATGCGGTCCAGGAATGGGTTATGAATCAAGCTATGGTGCCCGTGGATGGTCATAAGGAAGAGCCCCAAATTTGCGTTATTGAGGCAAGCATGGAATTTTTCTTTATAAACTTAATATCCTTCTGGGTTTTTGAGCATGTAGCCTTCATTCATTCAACACACATGTATATTATTTTATTTATTTATTTTTAAAATATTTTATTTATTTGACAGACAGAGATCACAAGTAGGCAGAGAGGCAGGCAGAGAGAGAGGGGGAAGCAGGCTCCCTGTGGAGCAGAGAGCCCGATGTGGGGCTGGATCCCAGGACCTGGGATTATGACCTGAGCCGAAGGCAGAGGCTTTAACCCACTGAGTCACCCGGGCGCCCTCAACACACATGTATAGATGGCCTCCCACATGCTAGACATTGGGCTGGGATGAGGGATTATAGCAGGGAAAGACGTAGATGGTCCCTGCCTTTGGGGTCACGAGTCAGTGGGCCAGATGGGCATTAAACAGGGTGAATACTCCTGGGATTTTGTGCAGCAACCCGTGTGTGGGGACAGATTAGTTGCAGGATGCTTTCTAGTGAGTGCTGTTCGAGGGTTAAGGAAACTGACGCCTCTCTCACCTCCCAGTCAGAAATCCAAGTATAACTTTGATTCCCCCCAAAACGTAACTACTAACAGCCTGCTGTTTACCAGAAGCCTTACCAATAACATAGTCAATTAATGCATAGTTTGTAAGTTATGTGTGTTACAGACTGTATTCTTCCAATAAAGTCAGCTAGAGAAAAGAAAATGTTGTTAAGAAAATCATAAGAAAGAGAAAATACATTTACAGTACTGTGCCATATTTATAAAAAAAAATCCATATATAAGTGGACCCACACAGTCCAAACCCATGTTGTTCAAGGGTCAACTGTAGGGGCGCCTGGGTGGCTCAGTTCGTTAAGCGTCTACCTTTGGCTCAGGACATGATCCCAGAGTCCTAGGATCGAGCCCCACATCAGGCTCTCTGCTCAGTGGGAGCCTGTTTTCCCCTCTCCCTCTGCCTGCCTCTCTGCCTACTTGTGATCCCCCCCCATCAAATAAATAAATTTTAAAATCTAAAAAAAAAAAAGCGGGTCAACTGTATTTGCAACACGCTTTGGAAGTAGAGAGAGACTGAGGGAAATCTGATGGTGAACGTGATTTGGAGGTGAAAAGTGAGTATTAGCTGCTTAAAGAAAGAGCATAGTATTTGAACTTGTGGCTTATTTACTATTTCCCTTCCTCTCAATGAGTGAGAATAACGTGCCTGTACTCCTTGTCTAAATGTCAGCAGACCTAACTGCTGGGTAGGACAGCAGAATAATGAACAATTTAGTTCCTAGGGACTGTCTGTCCAAATTCAGATTTCTGCTGTGACCTCTGAGTGGGGTAGAGCTCTGTGGTTAAGAATTTGGAGCCAGACGACTTGGGTTCATAGCCAAGCTGGGTCACTTACCAGTTGGGTGACCTTAGCCCAGTGTGCCTCAGTTTACTCATCTGCTAAATAGGGATAATGTTTCGAGGGTTAAATAAGTCAGTACACTTAGCGCTTAGAATGGTGCTTAGAATGGGGCGCCTGGGTGGCTCAGTGGGTTAAAGCCTCTGCCTTCAGCTCAGGTCATGATCCCAGGGTCCTGGAATCAAGCCCCGCATTGCCCCGCATCGGGATCTCTGCTCAGCAGGGAACCTGTTTCCCTTCCTCTCTCTCTTTCTCTGCCTGCCTCTCTGCCTACTTGTGATCTCTGCCTGTCAAATAAATAAAAATTAAAAAACTTAAAAAAAAAAGAATGGTGTCAGATCTATAGCAAGTACTCAAAATTTATTAGCCATTATTAAGACGCCTGTGTGACTTTTGGCAAATTACTTCTCAAAGCTTCAGTGTATTCAACTATAACAATATGATAACGATGCAATATTGTAGTAAAAGCCAGATGATATTAACAGGGTTGCTGGGAGGAAGAAGTGCAATTATATAAAGCACTTGGCATGTCTGGTGTTCAGGAAGTGTTCAAAACATGTGATCTGTTCTTATTGTCATTATTTTCAGAGTCCGCAGATGGATGTTAGGCTATCTGCAAGATCCATTTTGTTAACAGAGCTGATCAACTTAACATAAATGTGCTGTACTATCATACGTTAATGATATAGTTATATATTGTACTGCTATAATAGTATGGTTGATAATATAAATGTGTAAATGTGCTATGCAAAATTTTCTGCCCCTTGCTGTTTCTCTTCTTTCCTTTTCTTTTTATTGAAAGATTTTATTTATTTATTTGACACAGAGAGAGAGAGCATGAGCCAGGCAGAGGGAGATGGAGCAGGGAGCCTGATGCGGGGCTTGGTCCTGGAACCCTGGGATCATGACCTGAGCCAAAGGCTGACACACTTAACCGACTGAGCCACCCAGGCGCCCTTCCCTTCCTATTTCTTCTTTCACAATTTACAAGGAAAAGAGAGGGCGCTTCCCTTAGAATTTTTAAAAATTGGAGTATATTAAAAAAGTTAAAAATAAAAATAAAAAATTGGAGTATAACATAAACACAGAAAAGTGCACATATCACAAGTATACAGCTTAATGAAGTCTTATAAACTGAACATACTTGCATAACTAAGTTGGCTTCCTTTAAAACACACTTAATATCTAATACAGTGAATAGTTTGCAAACAGCTTGAGGCAAAGATAAAGACAAATCATTTAAGAAAGAAGAAAGGCAGGTACGAGCTCCAGGAAGAATAACATCTGATACGAGAACCAGGGCATAGCTTGCCTCTACAGTGAGGGAGACTTATGTGGTCACTCTGTTTATTGATTTTCAGGTTTTAGACCTGTCCTCAAAATGCATCAGAGAAGGCTTCAAAGCAGGGATGTAAATGTCAGCTTTGAGGTGGAGATGTGGAGGGATGCTGGAGAGGGAGGGAGGGAGATAGAACTTCATTTTCCACTGGGAGGCAGCTACAGATACCGGTAGTAGTTGGCAGAAAAAGAGGTAAAAATGTCTCAGGTTAGGAAAGTAACCAGTACAGCCAACAGTTGAGGTTAGGATCTGGGGATGGGGCAGCAGAGAACTCGAGCCTCATCTATCACAGCAGGAAGTCAGCTTGTGTTATTATAGAACGTGTCTGAAATGGGCAAGTCAAGAAAGAGTTGAGAGAGATGGTGTTTGGAGATGTGATAGAAACTAGCGGAAGAAATCATGAACAGAAGACTTAAAATGCTTCCCTTGAGGAATCCGGATTTGGAAGTGGAGGAGGTGGGGTACAGGACTCCTGGTTTTTACTGTAAGCGCTTTTGAACAATTTGATTTTGTTGGGGAACGAGAATTCCTGTCCTCTTCAAGGTCCTTCTAGTCAGACTAAGAATCAAATTGACAGGAGATGGATTAGTTGAGATGTGCTGTGGATTTTAAATACACTCTGAGCTTAAAAGGTAGCATGAAAAAAAAAACCAGAATGTAGAATACCTCATACTTTTTACAAAATTGGTGATATGTCAAAATAACATTTTGGATATATTGAGCTACATAAAATAAAATGTTAAAATTAATTTCTCCTCTTTTGTTCTTTTAAGTGTGGCAACTAAAAATGTTAAGATTATATTTTTATTTTTATTGGACAGTGCTGGCATAGCACTTTCACTGGTGTTTGCTGTCCTAGCAATAGGAAAGGTAAAAGATCCAAAATGTGTCCGCTAAGCGTCTGCCTTTGCCTCAGGTCATGCTCCCAGGGTCCTGGGATTGAGCCCGCATCAGGCTCTGTGCTAAGTGGGAAGCCTGCTTCTCCCTCTCCCACTCCCCTGCTTGTGTTCCCTCTCTCACTGTGTCTCTCTGTCAAATAAATAATAAAAATAAAATCTTAAAATAAAACAAACAAAAAATCGAAATATGTCCATTTTCCCTGAAGAACCAGCCTCTGGCCCCAAAGTATTATCAATTTTCTAAACCTGACTATTTTTATAATGTTTCCAGAGATTTTTTTTTCCTTTCTTTTAGTTTTTGTATGTGGAAGAATGGCTCTTTTTTTTGGTTTTGTTTTTTTGTTTGTTTGTTTTTTTAAGACTTTCACAGGAAAGTTTCCAAATGGTCATGTGTATGGATGTTTTTGCCTCCGCTCTTCTTTTTTAAAAAAATACATTTTAAAAACTAATAATCACAAAAAAGGAGAAGGGGGAAATCTATTTTTTTTTTTGTTTCATCAGTTTTATTTTTCATATATCCAGGATTCATGATGTAAATCATTCAAAATAACTGGATATTACAAGTATAGTTTACAGTTCGGCTCTGTTTGCACAAATACTTGACACAGGAAACCATCTTTACAAATACATATGTTTTCTTATAGGAATACTTTAATAAGGAAAATAAGTCTCTATACATCTTACATCAAATCCTATGCAGTTCCCCCCGCTCCCCTCACTGAACCAACATTTTGGGCTCTCCATCCCAGCACATTCACCACATCCAATAAACCAAACCACAATGTGCCGCTGCTTGTCATTTTCAACCATTATTGAGATTTGCATTGTTAAGAGTTCTTAGGATTCTTTCTCTCATCTTTCCTGATCTGAAAGAATTCACATGTTTAAGCTAGACGAGGACATTTAAACACCATTCCTTTTTTTTTTTTTAAGATTTTATTTATTTGACAGAGAGATCACAAGTAGGAGGAGAGGCAGACAGAGAGAGGGGGAAGCAGGCTCCCCGCTGAACAGAGAGCCCCTATGTGGGGCTCGATCCTAGGACTCCGAGACCGTGACTGGAACCGAAGGCAGAGGCGCAACCCACTGAGCCACCCAGGCACCCCCGCACCATTCCTTTTAAATCTAGCTTGCAGGAATAGGTACTTGGTGATCTCACTCCTCACTTAGGCAAGACCAGCTGGTAGCTTAACCCCCACGCCCACAGCACCCAGCAGGAGGGATACAGTTCTTGCATTCCTTATAGTTTCTCAACTGCCAAAACGAACCGACCCCTAGAAACAAGGGTTAAATACAAACATAAAGAAAGCTAAAACATGAGGCGCCTGGGTGGCTCAGTGGGCTAAAGCCTCTGCCTTCAGCTCAGGTCACAA